TTTTTGGTTTTTCGAGACAGGGTTTCTCTGTGGCTTTGGAGCCTGTCCTGGAACTAGCTCTGTAGACCAGGCTGGTCTCGAACTCACAGAGATCCGCCTGCCTCTGCCTCCCAAGTGCTGGGATTAAAGGCCTGCGCCACCATTGCCCGGCGGGAAATTATTTTGTTTAGATGCTAGAGGCTCAATTAAGTACCTTAGAACTATTTATTTGGAGTATTGGCGCCTACTACTATGTTATTGCTGTAAGCATAAGTTGGGTGATGATTTAAGTCATTTAACCAAATTTGTGGATTTTTTTTTTTTTGTTCCTCATAATTGTCACTAGGTCAAAAATGTTTTTAAATTCTCTTCCATAGACAATAGGAACCTCAGAGCTCTGTAGACCACTAAGTGGAGAGCAGGACCATCTATCTAAATGACTTGAACTAATGAAAGGCCGTGACTACACAGCAATACTTACAATAAATACTGTTGAAGGCAGACAAGGGCTAAGATCTCCTTAGCAGTAATCATGACAGACACTGAATTTAAACCTATTTTATTATAAAAAGATCAGTTTCTAACTCATGAAAATGTATTACCTGTTCCTTAACTGTGTAAATAAGATTAAATTGCTTTGAAACTGGAACTTGCAGGCACAGGCACTCTTTAATCATGACTGTTCTAACGTGGAAGCCATTCTAACAAGTCTTTGACCTACCAGTTTCCCCTTCATTCCCTGTAGTCACAAATGACTGATGTGATACGGTGTGTTTCTGGGCTTCTCACCTCAAGCGGGGAGAAAGATCTCCAAATACTTTATTGCCATATAGGTACAAAAAGCAGTAAGGCATCTTTCAGATCATCTAAGCTGCAAGCATATCTTTAAGACAGCATCCTGTCTGAGGGTCCTTCAGAAGCACATTTACAATTTCAAAAAATTTGTGTTCATATGCCAACTTGTAATGCAGGTAGATGTCTTCACAATATGAGAGTAACTTCTTCAGGTTTTCTGTGACCCTGTCGGTAGGCTGGTGTTGTTTATATCTACACAAAAATATGTAAAGTACAGGTTAAATACTGTAACAACAACGGGGGGGGGGGATCATCAGCTCTGCCACCATGCAGGAGTGTTGTAGCTTATGAAATTATTGAACTAGTATTAGATTTAGTATTAGATTAGTTAATTTAATTAAGAGCAATTATGTTGCTGGGCATTGGTGGCTCATACCTTTAATCTGGGAAGCAGAGGCAGGTGGATCTATGTGAGTTTGAAGCCAGCCTGGTCTGTAGAGTGAGTTCCAGGACAGCCAGGGCTACACAGAGAAACCCTCTCTTGGCAAAAAATAACAAACCCCAAATATGTCAGCACCTACCTTAATTAAATTTAGTACTACTGCAAAAGATGACTTGCTGGAGTTTCTGACTCACTATCAACTTTTTCCTTTTTTACCTTTTTTTTCCTTTTCAAGACAACATCTCCATATGTAGCCCTGGTTGTCCTGGGACCCACTAGGATTTAAGTGCTGGGATTAGGGTCAATTTAAGTACTTACTTTTTGGAAATGTCTTCAAATATACTGGGTCTTAGTAACTTTTGCTGCTTAAATTCTTCCAAGTAACCAAAGTCTCCTTTAAGAATCACTTGTTGGTAGAGAACTTCAGCCCAGTCAGGAACAAAGTCATAGGCCTCAGCTACAATAGAAGCCTTAAAAGGATGGAAATGAAGGGAGGGGTCGTTAGAGCCCATGCTGTAGAAAACTGAAGGCACAGTGTTAAAGGTATCAGGTTGCCTGGTGTTGCTCTCCTCTCATAAAGCCCTCTCCAGTAACTTGTTTTTAGTCTTCCTCACAATGGACAGTAAAACCGCTGATGTGAAAATTTGTTTTCATAACTCAACTGTGTGGGAAGCAGGAAAGCACTGATGCTGGGCCATTTGTGCCTTTTGTTGTAAAGGGCGAGACCCAATCTCTGGGCAGTCTTGATTCTCATTGCTAACCTGCAGGCTCCATTCCATGGACACCGTCTGAAAGACTGTTAAAAGGACAAGCCAAGGAATTCTCTTCATAACTGCCAAACATCAAAATTCTCTAGCCTTTGCCCAAACGATGCGCTTGAGATAATATGCCAGAGAGTGCTGGGAGTGTGCCTTAAATGGTTAGAGCACTTGCCCGCATTTGTGAAGACCTTGTCTGATCTGAACCACTACAAAACACATGCGCACCTATCTCAAATTGCATCTTCTTGGTACTATTAGACAGCTAAATCAGAATAAGTAGTTGCCCTGGGTCTGTCCCTAACGCTGAGACCTCAGTTTCTCAGCCTCTGGACACCAAGGGGAAGACACCAGGATTACACTGTGTTCGTACCTGGTAGAACCTAGGCAGAGCCATGATACAGTCCATTAGCTTCTGCTGGCCCAAGTTGATTAGCATTGTGTTCTGACCAGTGTTGAGAAAGTGAATCTGCAGTGTTATCAGCTTAGTGAGCCGGTTACAGTGTAGGGCTTGTCGCACACAGGAGTCCTGAGGAACAGGTGGAGGAAGCACAAGAAGAGAATTTTATTACCATCTCTTCTGTACTCAATAGTGACCTCTGCTTGACCCATTACACACTCCCTCTTCACTTGGAAGAGCCCAAGCCAAAGTCATTCCTACCAGTATGGAGGCCAGGCTAGAATAACTTGGTTACCTTGGCATAACTCTCCGCTGCATCTAACATCAGAGTCAGGGCTCTAAGCAGGAGCTGTTTGAGTTGGGCTCCATCCTTGAGGCTTTCCTCTGTAGAGTAAAGGATACTTGCTGTAAAGCTGAGTGACCCCTCAGGGCCACTCAGTGTGGCAGGCCAGATGAGAGAAACATCCTAAAGTACGTGTATCCATAGGTACGCTTCACTTGGACAAGAAATGTCCTAAGGTTCAAACTCTTCTGTAAACGGCCATCTCCCGCCACCAGGGCTGCTCCCGAGTCTTCCCCCTAAAGAGCTGGCCAGGCTAGTGTGAGCCCGGCTGTGGAAGTGCCGCAGCTCACTCACCCCAGGGCTGGGACTCAATCAGCTTCAGCTGGATACAGGCCGCCGCCTCATGATTCTCCCCTATCTCCCGGCACATGCTGAAGCACAGGGCAATCATATTGTGCTTCTCGCTGTCTCCAGGGCGGCAGCGCTTGATGTAGTCTAGTAAGGCTGTCTTCAGGGTGCCAGTCTGCCCAGGAAAAAAGGATATTTAAGTTCTTAACCAGGGACCACAGGGGAGGATCAACTGAGTCCTTTTGTTTTATACTGCTCAAAATGCCCAAAGAAAGGTAAGTGACAACAAAAATGGACTGTGAGATCTTAGGCTGTCTAGGGGATAAGCAGACGCATCCTTGCTGGGAGGACAGCCAGTTAACCTGACCATGAAGGCAGCCCCGGAAGCACACACTGACCTACTATTGTGTTTGCTAGGACTCTATCCTAAAGACGCAAGTGTGAAGGTGAGTGTAGCAGATTTAACAGCTTTAATTAGAAGCAGCTTGAATGCTCCAAATAAAGGCTAAGGATACCTTGTAGCCATTAAATTGCTGAAGGGAGTCTTTTTTTTTGTTTTGTTTTGTTTTGCTTTTTTCAGTTAGGGAATTGAACCTAGGGCTAAGCACATGCTTTAAACATTTAACTGTGGCCAGACTACCTTGACTTGGGAAATAGCCACAGCGGATATTATAAAAGGAGAACCTCAGTCATCTTATTTTCAAGGCATAAAATTTTGCTAAAATGTGAACTATATTTTCGGGTACACGTGCAGAGAAAGGAGTATATTAGCAGTGGCTCTCTCCAGTGGTCAACACTGAGGACTTCCGTATTGTTTTCTAAATGTCTTATATGAAGTATGTATTTTGTAATGAGAAAAAAAGTCATTAAAATAATTTTAAATGCAAAATGTTTCAGAAGAACAATTTTAAAATCTGGG